GCCCAACAGCCCCTTCTGCACAGAAATCCTTCCTCAGAGCCAGCCTGACCCTGCCCTGGGCAGCTTGAGGCCATTCCCTCGGGGCCTGGCGCTGGGGCCTTGGCTCCAGAGACTCATCCCCCCTCTCTGCCCCCTCCTGGCAGGGAGTTGCAGAGGGCCAGGAGGTCTCCCCTCAGCCTCCTCTTCTCCAGACTGAAACCCCCCAGTTCCCCCAGCCGCTCCCCAGCAGACCTGTGCTCCAGACCCTGCCCCAGCTCCGTTGCCCTTCTCTGGCCACGCTCGAGTCATTCAATGGCCTTTTTGGGGTGAGGGGCCCAAAACTGAACCCACTCAGTGAGGGGCGGCCTCACCAGTGCCCAGCCCAGGGCTCAGATCCCTTCCCTGTCCCTGCTGGCCACGCCAGTGCTGGTACAAGCCAGGATGCCACTGGCCTCCTTGGCCACCTGGGCACCCACGCCACAGGATGGAGCCATGTCAGTTAATACCGACACCGGCCGCTGAGCTCAGCTCTCCATGGGGTGAGAAAGCCACACACCAGCCACGCTGATGCCACACCAGGTCCCCCCGTGCCGCTGGCGCCGGGATACGTGCCCCTCGGGGACTTCTGCCCACCCATGCCGGCGTTCGGAGGACGCGGAAGCTCAGGGACCCGAGGTAGGATTTTCATTAAGTTATATTTTAACTCAGATAATTACGATAAACCAGGTCCTTCCCAGCTGCAACTGTTGATGCCTTTACAGTATTTGCCTAGAATCAATCCTTGCCCTCTCCGCTCCTTTCATATATGCCGGGAATCAATAAAAACAGGGCGGCCCAGCCCGGGGCAGCGGGGGTTTGCCCGCCAGCACGCGTTGGGTGCAAAGGACGGGGCTCAAAAAGAGGGTGGGAGGCCAGGCACGACCCGCACGTCCACCTTGGGCAGCACCCAAGAGGCTGGAGCAGGGCCCACGCTGCCTTCCTGGAAAAGCTCCACCGAAAAGCCAACAGCAAATTTAGGATTCCCAAGGACACACAGAAAATAATTCACTCGCCGCCACCTCCGTTACACCCAGCAGCCGTCCCGGTCCCGACCCGGGGCTCCGGGCACACGCTGCCTCGTGGTTTTCTCCCCCCAGGGGAAGCAGTCTGCAGCCCCAGGATGGTTCCTGCACACGGGGCCCCATCCAGCCCAGCTCTGCGCTGGCACAGGACCCGTCACCCCGGCCAAGCCGCGGCCCCGCCGGCGCCTCGCCACGCTCCTGCTGACGGCTCACAGAGTTCGGTCTCCTCCAAAAACAAACCTAAGATATTTTTGAAGCGCGGCCAACTAATTGTTCTGAAAATAACCCAGGGCTGGGTTTGCGAGGCATGGCCCAAGCCTGGCAGGACCCCGCTCCCCTCCCCGGGACCCCCGTCTCCTGCATTCCCGCAGGTTTTACAGGCTTACCGCCTGCCCGGCCAGCTTTGTTCTCCAGGAGAGCGCGGGCCTCGGAGGTTTTAGCCTCCTCCTGCCAGGGCTTAGCTCGGATGCTTTGGCTTAACCCCTCTCCTCCCAAAATGGGGGAGCCAACTCCTCCGGTGAGCGCTGGGGAGGGCAACACCCTTCCTGGGGAGGCACCGCCGCCTCCTCAGCATCCCCCTCTTCCTCCCCACTGCCCAAATCCACCCTCCCAGGCGGATCCTCCCTGGGCGATGCCTCTAAGAGTAGCCACTAGCCCAAGTGGCCACGTAGGACATTTAGGTGGCCGGTGACTCCCTCAAGGTACACAGGCACTGGCACACAGCCCACGGTGGCCAAGTCCTGTCCCGGTGGCACCATCTCCCAGGACAGGGACGTTGGCTGCCCGTCCCTCTCCACGTCCCTTGTCCCGCCGGGAGCCACCCTGCCCGCAGCCCGCCGGTTATCGCCAGCGCGTGCCAAAGCACGCAGCCCTGTCCCGTGCCAAAAATCCATCCCCCCCCTCCCAACCGTGGGGTTTCTCCCAAAGCCACACTGAGGCGGGCACACCCAGGGTGGCAAACCGGACCTCAACTTTCACCCAGCTGCCAAACAACCGGCAGGGAGAAGCGGTTTGCGGGCAGAGCCAGGCAGGGGGGTGAACCGCACAGACTCGCTGCTGTTTTAAGGCAAAAACAAAACGGAGGAGCTGCCCCTTGGGAAGAGAAGGGCTCAAAGAGGAACAGCCAGAGGGGTCCTGGATCCCCCAAAACACTGCGGGTAGGCCAGGGCAAGGCAAGAGTGCGCCAAAGCCCCCCCTCCCCATCCCGCGGGCAAAGGCGAGCTGCAGCACAAACCCTCACCATCCCCGCCGCCGGCTGAAGCAGGGACCCCCCCTCAAAGCCCCCCTCGCCTCAACCTCCTACCCGCTACCTTCAAG